CCCCCCTGCCCCCCCCCCCCCGCGCGCCCCCCTCTGCTATACCATCGCATAATAACTGCTGCTGTAGAATCAGATCTAGCTGTCATTACAGCCGATATATGTAGTCGATCGTTGCTGTGTTTGTTGGACGTCGTGTTTTGGGGGTTCATCCGAGGGGCTGAAAAGATATGGTCCAATCTTGCTGTTCGGTCATATGCATAGTCTGCGATTAGAACAAATAAGAAGTAATTGTTCCGGCCAGTTTCGGTGCTGAGCCCCCACCGATGCAATAGGCGGAGGCGGTCCACACAATACCGGGAAGTCCGTCCCGTCTCGGGCGGGATTTAGGTTGTACTATGCATTCGATGGTAATTAATGAATTTTCTTTCTCGAGAGAAAAGCTGCGGCAGAAGGGACCGGGTGAGGACGCTGGGTGAGAATCGGGCGGGTGCGCCACGCCTTAGAAAACAACAAAATAGCACGCAATCATTGAAAGAAAGACTCTCGTTCGAGACGTAAGTCTCCCTCCCTTCCGGACGAGTTGCCACATTCTACTGCCCCCCCTCGCCCGCCGCCGAGTTCTTGTGATGTGCGTCTTCCCCACGGTCACGGGGGAAGGGTGGGCAGCTCATTGAAGTTGGAAAAAACGTGGTAAAATGCACTTCATTGCCCGGATTTTACGGTAGAGGTACTGAGCGGCTACCGAAACGGTTTTCAATGTGATGAAGCCAACAAATAACGTGTGGGTGGGTAGGGGAGGCCCAGCAGGCGGGCTGCCGGAAAGATACGCACGGGATCCGCGCAAACGACATACCCGCGCAGCAGTGTTGAGTCAGTTGTGTTTTTTTCGCAGAAAAACAGAGGCACGCACCCACAAATCAAGTCTTTCGACGCTATTGTGTGTATGTGGTGCAACAGTTGCTGGCAAACGAACGAAAAGACAGCAGTGGCCGGACTTCTTTCGACGAAGATTTACATGTAGTGACCATCAACAAAGCAGTACAGACTTGGATGCGAGAGATGTGCCTCCACTTTTTAGAAAGTACACATAACCTCACAGAAAGGCCACCCGTTCCACTTTACTTGCCGCCCAGACCCCTAACTGAAAACATGGCATGACATATTCTGGAGGGTTTCCGTGCACCCCAAGTTAAACAACACTGCCGCAGTTCGAGGGCAGTCCACCCTTCCACCCTCCCCACGCCAGGTTGAAGTTTGTACATCACAAGTCACCCAACATCTGTATGGTGTGTACCGCAACCGCAACTGGAAACAACCGTGGCAGGGCTCGCTCTTCTTGCATTCTGTGGTCCCTAAATTATTTGGCATGTCGCACGATAGTGCCGCTGCCAGTGTGCTGTGCGTCACAAGCCACTTAACCGCTTGTTCAGGCGAGGTTCCGAGAAATTCGATGTCAAATACCACACTCTTGTAAGATGGACGTTGTTGGCTCCAGAGCTCTGGTTATTGGGTATTGCACTTTCTGCACCTTGCATGGTACACTTGTTGTCTTGGCCAAAAATATACTTTGTACTTTTCACAACACGCCATCTTGTTATATTTCCATTATCTCTTAACTCCCTGCGCGTTTTTTTGTGTTTCACAAAATGTTGTGCAGTTCCCAAGGCCACGACGCTCGAGGCCCTGCACTCCTTGGCCCACTCCTCCGAGCTGGAGCTCACGACGGGATTGTCAGGTAAACAATATTTTTCGTATTAATTCACTGCGTGTGGATTTTCGGAATAGCCATTGTATAGTCTAATAGTAGGCCGTGAAGACAACAAAAAAAAACTTTCCATGAAGCTTGCCGCCGCTCCTGATGTCGCTCTCTGCTTGCCGTTGTCTCTTCCCCTCTTTGCTGTCTCCCGATCTGTACCCCCCGCCCCATTGCTTGTCTTTGCTTGGTATGGCTCTCGTCACGGATGCGGCGGCAGCCCCTCTTCCCGTGCAAACGATGGAAGGCTTGTGGCGACTCTGTTTCTGCGAGGGCGACTTTCTGCCGGGCGTTGACGTAGACAAGCACGGATACGTCGCAAGGTGGGGTGCACCGTTCGTTTTGGTTGTGTATTGCATCAAACTTTGAGAAACGAGATTCGTTAAATGCACATGTGGCTTGAGAAAATCTCGACTGTCGTATGGTACGAGTCACAAGCAAGATAACATATTGACCGCAAAATCATAAATATCGAAGATTTGAACGTAAATCAAGGAGTGAATCTCAGGATTTTTCCTTCGACGCTTAAAAAGACGGGATCGTTCGTTCACAACGGGGCGATGAGGACCTTGAAGTGCGATTATGTAACGGTGCGTGTTGATTATGCCAACCCGATACAACGCCGACTCAGCCTCCTCACCGAGAAGAGACGTGAGTGCTCGGTCAACCCGAAGGGCACAGAAGGTCGTCCGTTGGCCTTAGTCGCGACAACCCCAAGAATCGAAGGATCGACCGTTCTTCAGTCTTGCCGAGCTAACCTTGGAAACGGAAAATGAAATCAGGGGACAAAACGTGGAGATATTGTTCGACCCTGAGGGCGAGAAGATCACCCTAGGAAGCAGCGGCTTCGGCTCTTCCCTACCCGCAGCCATGCAAGGAGGACTGTCGTACACTCCGGAGACCCAGACAGTCACCGGGACCTTCGAGAAGGTGCGATAGTGGGCGGGTGGGTGCACGTTCTCTGTGCGTTGTTTTTTGTGTCCGTGAGTTCTCTTTTTTCAAAAACGAAGGCGTTTGTGTCCGTGGGAAGGTGCAAGTGCCGAAGGAAGGTGGGTACATAACCCCAACATTTTCTTGAAGCTGGGCAGTAAAGCGTTGTCATACAATAGCAACGGCAAGGTTGGATAACACCGTGTGCGAACCATACGACGGTTTATTGTCGTGTCTGTCGAAGCGGCGGTTTCATCAACAACACGCTGTCTTATCCACGGGCTTGTCAGACGGGATCATAGAAAACGGGACTGCTGTCAAGCCCTACCGACCCTCAACCACAAACTACGTCTGCTCTCTTGCGATGCTGCTGCTTCTCTGAAACAGGTGTTATTTCTGTGAACCACAGACCGTGCACGTTTTGGTAAAGCGCTGATCCAACAAGCTGTGCGTTGCAGTGTTTACAATGATGATTTTGCCTTGTTCTCTGACCCGTACGGACCACCACCTGCGTTTATGCGTTTATTATCCCGGTTTCTACATAGGCGGGGATGGAATCCCTCGATCTTCAGGCATTCTTGATCGACGACGACGCCCTGGGATTCCACACCGTGTCGGAGGTGAGACGCAAAATAAAAAAAGTTTGGTGAGGCAGGCATAGCCGATGTAGACTACTGAAACCGTTGGACTTGCCAAAGAAATTATTGTTCCCTGTATTTTCGGATATCAAGTTTGTGGGATCCCTAGGATTCCTAGTGGAGTGCCCACTTTCTCGGAGAGTTCGCGTAATACAAGGACTGTAATACAAACGACTCGAGCAGAAACGAAATAGCACTAACCGTAGGAGGACAACAGGGATGACTACCGTAGACCCCTTACGATTTCACAGGCCCCCCTGGCTTGCGTTTTTCAGAAAAATGGTGGCGGCCCTCACAATTAGGGATGGTGTCCATTCCCCAACGGGTGGCTTTGGAAAAGGTCGGCCTCTCGCCCTCCTGTCCCCGAGGATCTTAGGTTACCCCCCCACACACACACGTTCGCTCTGCGGTGCCCCCCCCCTTGGTCGGAAGGATAAGCACGTGATTTTGCTGTTCCACGCGGAGAAGAGCAAGGCTGCTGCGGCGCGTCTGTCCAAGGCCGTCTCGATCGCGGCATCTTCTGTGTCGGAGGCTGAGAAGGCGGCGACTGCGGAGGCTAAGAAGGCTGCGACCGCTGAGGTGGCCGGCAAGGACTTGGTAAGTCCCATTTGTTTTGCTGCTGCTGCTGCTGCTGCTGCTGTTGTTGTTGTTGTTGTTGTTGTTGTTGTTGTTCATGCTCTTGTTGGTGGCGATGGTGGCGGCTGACCCTAAGCGATACTACTACGCTACGACGAGGGCGGAGATGGGAGTGACTCAGAGATTTGTTGGAACTGCTGTTGTTGTCTCCCTTGCGGAGCATGTGGCTGACGTATCCACATCCCAAGAGCCGTTATCGACCGTGTGAGTCGAGTGGCTCCACTTCTACCCGCAAATACTCAAAAAACACCCCACAATCCCTCAGCTGCATCCTTCTCCTCCCCCGTCCACGCTCCCATGGTTTCAGCTCAACTTGGTCCTTGACATTCAGCTGGTGAGCGAGGAAGACGTCCACGAGAACAAGAGGCTGGCCGTCCAGGAGACGGGGCGGGAGACGGGTAGCTTCAACACGTTCATCCACTACCTCGAGACGGAGGGGGGGATGATCTACGCCGTGGTAGCCGGGCCCATCCTCTTCTCGTGAGCGCGTGTGCCTTCGAAAGGCGACCGTTCACGCTACAACCGGCTGGTCAATGAGAAGGCGTCGTTGACGTTTTGCAGTGCATAGAGTGTGTGTTAAACAGCGTTTGGTTCAATCGCTGGCAAAGCCGGGGTTATCCCGCTCTCATCAACATTTGGGAGCATAATTTGCTGGATGTGTATTTTGTTATTGTCCTGCCCACAACTCCCCTGTTTTTCCTTTCTTAGATGCTGGATACGTGTGCGTGGGCATGTAAAACCCAAATCTACGTCATTTGGTCTTATTAGATGGCGGTGCACTGCGATCTCGAGTAGTAGTACCTGGGCTACCTTGGCTAGTCCCTGGATAATACCACCCTTTTTCCTCTTCGGATCCCCTAGTCGTCACCTCTGTGGGCTGTAGTAGGTGGTGCCAGTAGTTTCGCGTGCTTTGTGGTGGTGCTGTACCACTTTAAGGCAGATTCTCACGGGAGCGGTGGCGGCTTTACGTGCATGCGCGCAGGTACATGAAGTACTACAGCCCGGTGGCCGCCAGCAAGGCCACGGCCGCCGCGATCGTCATGGTGGAGACAGTCAAGCACATCCTCAAGGCGAACGCCTGATTGGTGGTTCAACCGCCAACCCCGCGGGGTAAACGAGGGTCATGACAACTCCGTCCTCCGTGCGGGGAGAGGGAGTTGCGATGAATGAGCGGCAGAAGAACCAAGGCTATGACGAAGCGTTAAGCATTGGCCCCCCTCCCCTCGAGGTGGTGCCGATAAGGGCTCGGTCCTAGGCCGATAACGCACATATTCCACATGAAGAGTTTGTACATATTTTAGGTATTATGGTTGTTTTGGCGGCGGCGTTGTCAGCGGGTTTCCGGAATACAACCGGAAGCATGTTTTATGGGGTGTAGCCAAACTAAGGTCCTTTTGGAGAGGAGGAACAGCATTTATTCGAAGGACGGATGTGTCTTCTTTTTAGACACCCGAGTGCTTCCCCGTTGTCGATTGTGTTTGGACTCGGGAGACTGGACGTGCCAAAAAGCGTCTATTCGTCTTTTAGTTTTGATGATAGCGTTGTTCAGCGAGCACGGCCGTACAGTAGTAGCCTGGCGGACATCAGCAGAGGAGGGCGGAGGAGAACCAACGGGAAGGAGTTGGTGTTTGGCATGTTTTGGGGCGCAGGGGGGAAGATGATCTGTACTCCGCCGCCTCCGCTCCCCCCAAGCGTGCTTGCGTGTGTTCTAAATTCACCTTGGGCCTGCGGCATCATGATATCGACAGCTTGTCGGGGGGCGGAGGGCGGAATATCCGCTGAACTTCGGCATCGAGGTCGAAGATGTGTGGGTGTGTTGTGGCACGCGAGCCGTCTTGAGAAGAAGAAGAAAGGATATGTAAATAGAAGGCGGCGTGGGTATTCGCGTGCGTAGGAATGTAAATAATGTTGTGGGGGGGGTTACGAGCAGGTCACATCTACGTGGCTGCCTTTGCCGCTGCCGGCCTCACAAGCCTTGCTGTACATATGTCCTCGCCGCGTGGATGGATGACGAGATTCCCAAAGAAGAAAGTTGCTCGCGCGGTCCTTTGTATATAACACGGTCAATTAATTTCATCAGTGTCACATCATCGCTGTGCAAAAAGTGCACACATCACGTGACGGATTGAAAAAGGATGAGTTGGTCTGTTGGTTTTCGGAAGTGTTGCGGCCGGAACGGCTTTGGTTGTTTTGCACGACGACATTGGTGGTCATAGCGTTAGCGTCGAGCTAGCAGGCGCACAAGAGAACAACGCCGTTGCGGTACGGGGCCACGAGGACGAGAAAGACCGACGAGAAAAGTAAGATAATGGTATGTTTCAATCATTCAGGGCGGGATTCGACGCTTGGACGGGCTGCGCGAAGAACCATGGTACTTCTATTTGCCTTCGCTGAGAAGAAGAGGTATTATGTAGTAGCAGAGTAGCCTGACGACTGTCGCTGAAGTCACGTGAAGGTCGTTTTTTTATGTTGTGATGGTTCGTTTGATTGTTTTTTTTCATACTGTTGCTGTTGTCGGTGTTGCGCAGGCAAACATGCGCTCTCGAGTGGGTTGGGTGAATGCAGACGAGATCGGACGGGATCTCAGAGGAAAGAGCCTCTTGTCGGAAACGAGGTAATATCTCTTCCAAGCGTTGCTGCTCACGGTGTACGTGGCGTTGAGATGGCACAGCACTCACGTCTAGTATATGCATGAAGAAGCAGGGACGGAGAGAGAGAAGAGAGAAGAGAGAGAGAAAGTCTGTCTTCGTTGTAAGTAGTTTCGTGTGGGTCGAGGTCTGTTGATGGCATGTATTAGTGGCATTTGATGTTGTAGGCATGCGTGGTTGTAGCTCGGCTGTTGGGTCTTGCTAGCTTGTATGTTCATGTTGTAATTGGTCCTAGGACTCACTGCTGTTCAGTGCCCCCTCTTGAGGCTCAAGACAAGAGTGCCTCGTACTGGAGCTGAGAAAAATGAAGTGGCAAATGTGTGTTTACTTTCCCAGGCCGAGGTGATGGCGGGGCGCTGGCTTGTATTATTGTCTCTAGCGGTGTAGATACGGAGGGTGGCGTCTTGATGAGAAACAGCCTTATATTTTCTTTTGCAAGACCATGGCGTCTGTCTACCTTTCGGTTGTTGGCGATGTAAGGGCAGCAGGCTGGCTGACGCCTCAAGCATACGTGTTCGAAAGTGAACGAAGGTACACATGTGACGCCGGATCGGAGCTCTGCAGCGAAGAGAGAAGACAGAAAGGTCGAGTTCAACAGCACGAGCGAACAGAGTAAACGTACGGAACGTCCATGGTGAATGAAGTTGCCGGTAAACGGTATCAGTTTTGGATATTCTCACCACGTCCAACCCCCGAACGACACTCTTCAACACCGACACTCTGAGACACGAACTCCAAGCCTCATAACAGTTGTTATCCTTTTATATACTACCCACTTTCCACCACCCCCCCCATCTGTACGTGCTTTGGGTCCAGGTGCAAGTCAGGTAGGCGTAGGAACATGTTCCGCGGCTTGAAGTTGAACCCCCAAGCCTAACGTACGCTTGTAGGTGTATATCACCTCGCTCCCTCCCTCACCATTTTGTCTAGTTTACCCCCCTATACCCTCCCCCACGTGGCCGCACCATTTTTTGTAGTGCCCCCTGTATGGAACAATGGCGTACTTGTACTACAGCGTGTTTCACGCAGGTGCCCCGCAACATCACCTAACCAAGGGTTCTCTCTTTCGATTGCACGTGCACGACCGTGTTGTTCTGTGTCTGTTGTATGCATACGTGCCTGGTCCTACTGTTCACGTCGCAGCAATCCGAATGGATGTCAATCAATGACTGACGGGACTTGCTTGGCCTTGCTGAAATACTCACCCCGTACCCCACAAGAGGACATTTCCGTACCCACACTGCATGACACAAAAAAAAACTACATGACACCACTTTTCCTCGCGCTGCGAGCGTCACACCCGAATTCCTTAACGACGCATGTTCAAAACGGTTGTCATTGATACCGTTCCTACACCGCCCTCGTCCGCCTTCGCCTCCCGCCCTATCTTTTGCGACACCGAGCGGGCAATACAAGCGCAACCCTCGGCGAGTTTGGGAATTGAACGGTACCCTTGATGGGTGCGAGGTATACCTTCGGCCAGATCCTCATTGTGGCCGCTATGATATTGCCCCACTGTTCTCCTTCTCGGCGACGATGTCTTCCGCCCACGATACCGATGATATCCGGCGGTTCTGGTCACGGCTATCTTGCTCGCTGCTGCTGCCCCCAGATGAACCCGCCTCCGCCCTGTTGTTGTCAATTGCCGACTCCGTGTTCTCTTGTGGCGATAGACGTTGTCGCGTGCCGTTCTCCTTCTCGGCGACGATGTCTTCCGCCCACGATACCGACGATGTCCGGCGGTGCTGGTCACTGCTATCTTGGGCAGTGCTGTTACCCCCAGATGAAGCCGCCTCTGTCTTGTTGTTGTCAATCACCGACTCTATACGTGTTTACGAAGGTGATTGCTGCTGTGGTGTCCTTCTCCCCTTTCCCTCGACGATTTCTTCTGCCCACGATACAGACGACGTCCGACGGTTCGGGTCGCTGTTGTTGTTGTCGACCACCACCTCCGTGCCGTCTCGAACCGATGGGTGTGGTTGTGTGCTTCCCCCCTTCCCCTCAATAATGTTTTCCGCCCACGACACCGACGTCCGGCGGTTCTGGTCATTGTCTTCTTGACCCTTGCTGTTACCCGCAGATGAAGCCGCGCCCAGCTTGTTGTTGTCAACCGCCAACAATTCTTGTTGCGAAGGTTGTTGTCGTGCGCTTCCCCCATTCTCCTCGACAATGTCTTCCGCCCACGACACCGACGACGTCCGGCGGTTCTGGTCGAGGTTGTCCTGCCCGCTACTGCTGCCCCCAGGTGGCTTAATCTCCGTCGTGTTGTTGCCAGCCACCGGCCCCGTGTGGCCTTGTTCCGATGACGGAGCTTGTGTCCTTCCCCCTTTTCCCTCGACAACTTCTTCTGCACACGATACCGACGACGTCCGACGGTTCCGGTTCCCGTCGTCGTGACCGTTGCTGCTTCCACCAGCTTGCGCCAGCTCCGTCTTGTTGTTGTCAACTACCAACAACTCTTGTGGCGCAGGTTGTTGTCGTGCGCTTCCTCCGTTCCCCTTGACGATGTCTTCCGCCCACGATACCGACAACGTCCGGCGGTTCCGGTCATTGTCATCTTGGCTTTTGTCTTTGCCTTTGCTACTGCCCGCACGCAAGGTCGCCTCCGCTGAGTTGTTATCGACCGCCGAATCCACTAATTCTAGCGGTAACGGTTCTGATTGTACACCGTTTGTGATTCTCTCAGCGATGTCTTCCGCCCACGATATCGACGACGTCCGACGGTTCCGGTCACTGCTGCTTTGGCTGTTGTACTTGCCGTCGGTGTTGCCCCCACCATCCGCTACCACCGCCTCCCTCCTGTATTCTTTGTTGGTGATGTTGTTGCTGGTTTGTCCCGTATTAGGAGATTCGACAAATGGTCTTCTGTCCGCGCTTCTGGGAGTTGTATCGTCTCCGGCGAGGGCTTGAACTTCTCCTGCCGCTTCCTTCGTTGCTGTCGTCGGTGGTGGAGGTCGATAGTGTTTCCCGGTGGCGGCTTCTTCAACCCAAGGGATCGACGACGAACGTTGTTGACGGTTTGCTGCGACGCCGTTGCCGTTGTTGTTCGTGTTGGCGGGTTTGTCTGTGCTGACGCCTACTTCCTGTGATACGACTTCGGAGAGGAGCTCCAAATCCTTCTGATCGCTGCCGACTGCTCTTGGTGCTAGTGCTGCTGCTGCCAATCCCTTCTTCTCGCCAACGGCAACAGCGTCCGCGGCAGGACCAGGGTTTGGAGTCCCGCCCGCAGCATTTGTTGTCGGCGTTGCTGCTGCAGCTTTCGCCGCCGCATTTGCCGTCCTTGTCCCCGCACCCCCCGACGGCCAAGCCCCCGCAACCTCCGGAGCGGCTCTTGCTGACTTCGGCAGCGGCGGTGAAGCCACAGAAACGCCTTCGCTTTGAGCACCTCCTGAAGTTAGATGCCCCCTGGGCCTGGGGCTGCCGGGGGCGTCCGATGGTCGAGGTGGTGCCGCCGGTCGCAGGCGGTCGGCCGCAGCGTGACGCGACGGGACTTTGCCGTTAGTGACCGGTGTTCCTCTTGCTCCTCCTCCGCCGCCACCTCTGACCCATCCTCCCCTCGGACGGCTATACGGAGACCTGGAGGAGACGTGGTTGAAAAGGGGTGAGACGTTGCTGGTACTGCTGAAGGTTGCCATTTCAAATCAGGGGTAGCTTTATTGTCATGTTTCCCGCCCCGCCCCTCCCTGTCTTTCTCTTTCGGGAATGAAAAACGTGAAAAGAATTTAGCAACACATGGGACATCCGATACAACAAACTGGAGCATTTCCTTTCCTTCACCAAACATTGGGCAGAAGAAGGGGTGGGTCTGGTTCTCCCAGAAGGCATCAAGCTGTGGGTCGTGCTTGTGTTTTGGAGCCCGACGGGGAAAAACGATTGGAACGACAAAGCCATACCCCAAACACCGAAGACCAAAACCGATGGTGAGAACAAACCGCCTATTTTGAGAATGGTAAGCAGATACTCCAACCGCGAGCGCCGCTCCGGTACAAGTTTCCGTCTCGAAACGGATTGGCGGCAAGGTCGCCCCGGTGGTCTAGTTGGTAACCTCGAAAACTCCTAGAGGTCAGGTCAGGGGTTACAATCCCGGCGTAAGCGAGCTTTTCTTGCAAAGTGATTTTTCTCTCGCTTCCGCTCCTGGCCTAGTGGATAGCGCTAGTTCGTGTGTACACAGAGGGAAGAGAGTGCTGAACGCTTCTCGCATTAAAAATCGAAGGCAAAGTACCGCAGGAGGGGAGGGTAGAGAGGGGCTCTTCTGCGTGACCATGGGTTGGGGTAAACGGCACTAGTGCTGTGAGCGCTCCTTTGAAGTCAAGCCAAAAAAAAAAAAGCAAAAACACCACCCCGCCGATCTCCCCCCGCACCTCCGCGAAAGGCGACGGCTACGCATGACAGCGAACACGCACATCCCATACCTCGTGAAATCCTTGGGGTCGGGTGGCTTGGGTCTCTGGTTCCGTGGAGGCGTGCTTGTCATCGTTCCCGACGCTGTGGGCGCCCCACCTCCAACTTTCCCTTTATTCCTATCGCCACCACCTGCAGGTCTTGCGTTGTTGCTGTTGTTGTTGGTGCTGCTGCTGCCGCTGCTGTTGTCACCGTTGCTGCGGTTATTCTTGCCACTCGCTCCGCCTCCACGGTCACGACGCGAGGCACCGACGCCAGAGACCTGAGACCCGGACTTGCCCGCGCTCCCCTCAACACCGGCGCCGTGTCTGACAGAAGCGATATTTTTGCTTTTGCGTTCGCCAGCACCTCTTTCGCCACCGCCTGTACCAACACTACACCCGATACCAGCATCGTCCACATCACCACCACCAAGAGCTTTTTGTCGCCCACCACTGCTGCTGTTGTTTCTGCCGGTCGGGGTCGCGGCGAATCTAGGTGACCGTCGTGGTTGCTTGTGGCCGCGACCTTGGCCAGGCGCACCGACCACGCCGCCATGCGGCGTCTTTGCTGTTGGTGTTGTTGCAGGGGAGGATGCCTCCACGAGAAAGGACTGGCGTCATTGCGGGGTGGGGGAAAGACCGGGGTAGAGCAATGGACGGGAATGGTTATACCATGGAAGGTAGCACGATCATCTACTCCGGACATACTCTGAAAGTGGGTATTCTATCAACTGTATGAACCTGATAAAAACCTCGGTATACAAAAGCATGGCAGACATTTCGTCAAGAGTCTCGCCAAATCTACCACTCAGCTTCGACATCGTTCGCGTTTGCGGAAGTTGGACGGGCAGTCAAACGCGGGAAAGGGGCGTGGTTTTACTACGTCCACCACGGTGAGTTTCTCTGCCCGGCTCTTCCTTCTCGGCGCGGATACAAAGTCCTTTCCGGCGCACAGGAAACCAGATCATAATTGGTTGACAGGCAAGACACTGAAATATGAAAACGTTCGCGCGAGAGGCCGCCGTCTCACCCAGCCTGCCGCTCGCTTGCAACGACCTCTACTGCCGTTTTGGGAGTATACATCAGGGGAGAAGAATGAGGCACGTGGCAAACGTGTTCAGGATGATGCTTTGTAGAACTGCGTGGTTGGGATGTGCGACAAGCACAAGTATTGGAATCCAGAAAGGACACAAGTCGTTGTTCCGTTTCATATTGTAGTGGTGGCGCTACTGATGATGTGGTTCTCACCGATTCTTCCTTCTGGACTACGTGGCGCATGTCCCGCCCGAGGCGCTTGCGCCGGCGCTTGACGGCAGCTTGGATCTGCTTCGCTGCCCTTTCCTTCTCAACATTGCGCTTCCTCAGCCACGAGCGTGTTCGCTTCTGGAAAAACGAATCCGCAAGTAGCGGCGACAACAAGGATGGAGTAGTTGGTGACGGGGGGAGACAAGATCCTCAACTTCGATCTTTTCGACTAGCCACACGAGAATCTTGTTGCTGGTGTTGTCGTGAGGGGGGCAAGGGGTGAAAGGACGTTCTTGTCTACACTACGTGCAGCGGGTGGGAGTCACATCATGCCGGGGGGGGCATTAGCGAGGTTATGGTAAATTGTTTCGTCCGGCAATCTCCTTCATAGAGGTCGCACGCTCCCCAAACCACGCACGTATCTCTTCTCGGAAACTGAAAATGTCGTTGACCGATACCACGGAAAATCTCATTCGGTGTAGGCGAAGAGTACCACGGACACACGCCTTCGTTAGATGGAGATATTGTGTTTAAATGATCACGCACCACTTACGAGTTTCGCTTTTTCGGGGTCATATGTTTTTCGTTTCATTTGCGAGGGGGGGAGGGGGTCAAAACATGACAACAGCAGCACAAGACTGAGCGCCTGGGTCTTCCCAACGATCGTTCAGCTGCATCTACTACTACTTTGGTTTCGATGTTTCCCTTGTGGTC